CCAAACACAGCTTGAATAATCAATCCTGCACAATTTCTTTCAAGAATCCTACATTCTACTGGTAATTTGCACATACAGAAAGACTTTCCAAGCTCAATCAATGTTTGTGCATCATAATAACATATTACTCCCTACACGTAAGTCTGTAAATCAAGGGTTTTGTTAGAATTTCAAATGGCTGGGCCACTCAGTGCTTTTCAACACTATTTTGATGACTATTTTTACCAGATAATATTCTAAAAACTAACACTTGAGTAAAAGCAAAGTTAATAATGTACGCTAAAACATTAATTTGACTGATTTATGCAGTCTAGTTAGATATCTGAACAAATGCGTGAGCCAATCAAAGCTGAAAACTAAAAATAGGCTATTGCCAGTCTCCCTAAGGAATTCACCATATTTATTTTACCTACAACATACACAAAATGAACTTTTATACAACTTCTTTATCAAAGACAGTATTGCCTGGGGCATTATCATACCTCCTGAAGTTACATTTTATTTGAATTGTTGCTCTAAATGGAGACTGTGAAAAACGAAAAACATGAGGAGCATTTTTCACAAAGTATGTGTGTGTGTGTGTGTGTGTTCAGTCAGTCATGTCCGACTCTTTGTGACCCCATGGACTGCAGCCTGCCAGGCTCCTCTGTCCGTGGAATTCTTCAGGCAAGAATACTGGAGTGGGCTGCCATTTCCTCCTTCATGCTAACAAAGTAATGGGTAGCCATTCTGCACCAACTTTATTAAAACAAGAATCAGTCAATAAACTATGTTGTGCACTCTAAGGCAGGTGGAGGAAAATAGAATCATCTCAGGGAGTGCCAACACATGAGCCTGAAAGAGCAGGGGTTCTATTCTGTTAATCTCTCCAGATTTTCTGGTCCCTCCTCTCTAGTCTCTGTACCCCGGAGTTTTATCCCCAACCCTCTTCTCACTGCACATAACCTCCCTGGAGAACCTCACTCACATTTTAACTTCAATCACTGAGTGCTTCACCCAAGTTTCTATCTTCACCTCAGACTTCTTTCTACAGTTCCAGACCCACACATCCAAGTACTACTTACGGGACATCCCAACTTAGATAACAGGCAATTTCAGGGTTAATGTTCAAAACTGAATTTGTCATCTACCCCACTTCTCACACTTCTGAGAAAGAAAAGGGCTTCTTTCCTCCTTTCACGTTCCACATGAGGCAACTGACAGAACAATGCCCGTCAGCAGAAGTCACCCCTGGCTTCTCCCCCACCCCCACCTCCAGCATCTCCGAGGCTGCTGATTTCACCTCCCTCAGCGGCCCCTCCTCCTGATTCCCGACACCATCACCACCAGAGCCTCAGTTATCTTATCATTTCTCCACAGAATTACTGCAAAGTCTCCAGTTTTGCTTTTCTGCCTCCATCTGTGGCTCTCCATCAACACATCATCCACAGGCTGCCAGCAATCTCTGTCAAATGCAAAACTGGGCACGTCACTGACAAGTGCTTTTTATTATCTTCAGGATAAAAGCCTCACTCCTGGGTTCTTTCTGGCTCAGTCTGTATTTGCTTCTCCAGCCTTCTAGTATGTTCTCTCTGCTCCTGCCACAATGGACTTGTGCCCAGAGCTCGTCTCCTATCCCCTGTATCTCTGCCTGGGAGGTCCCCCTGCCCTCACAGACAAGCCATCGAGTCATTTCCTAGTCCCTCCTGGAGAAGAAATCCAGGTCCCAGGAAGTACCTAACACATTATAGGTGCTCACCGAATATTTGCTGTATGTATGCCGGAGTTAATGACAACTCTTTACATTTAATAAATTATTTGAAATATACAAGGAATTTTCATTCATATCTATAATCATATTTGACAACCACTGCAGGTTTTATCATCCCAAGTTATCAATGAGGAAATAATGGCCCCTGACTTTCCCAAGATGGAAGAGCAGGAATTAATGCAATCATCCCTAACTAAAGGCTTGTCCTCTATTATTATCCTACTTAATTATCAGGTACACCCTGAAAACCCACTATGAGCTGAAAGGAATACAGAAGCAGCCTAGGTCATGGACTCAGCCCTAAAATGTTTCATCTCATCAGAGGCACAACACCCATACACAAGAAAATTGGGAGAAAATTCTACAAGATAGTATAGCATATATATAAAACAGATTACCAACAGGGACCTACCGTATACACAGAGAACTATATTCAATATCTTATAATATTGGAAAGAATCTTGAAGGTAAAAGAATCTGAGAAGAAACATATATATATATATATATATAATGTATATGGCTAAATTACTGTACTATACACCTGAAACTAACATAAAACTAACACGATATTGTAAATTAACTATACCTCAATAAAAAAAAAAATCTAAGATGAAAAAAGAAACTATAGTGTAGTATAAGGCTAAGTGTCAAAGTTCGTAGTGACCCCAGGAGGAACAGAATGCACTCAGTGGGCACCCACCTATCCTGGGGGCTTCCTGGGGCTCAGAGGGGAAAACATCCCTCTGCCAATGCAGGAGATGCAGAAGAAGCGCGTTTGACCCCTGGGTTGGGAAGATCCCCTGGAGAAAGGAATGGCAAGCCGCTCCAGTATTCTCGCCTGGAAAATCCCACAGACAGAGGAGCCCGGCGGGCTCCAGGCCAGGGGTGGCGGAGTCGGACACGACCGAGTCGCTGAGCACGAACCCACGCACCGCTGTGCTGGAGCGGCTTTCCAAACAGGAGACGGGGGGTGCGCAGCATGGCTCCGCAGCCCAATTACACTAGGAGTGGTTAAACGGGCTAAGACGGGGCATTTCTTAAGCCCAGCAATTTAAGTGCGGACCATGACAGGTCTGGAGGACAGAAAGGAAACAGCAAAAATGGAAATATAATTGCTTTCTGCCTTTGACCAAATTCCTTCTGAATTTCAGAAAGTAACAGAGTAAGGGTTCTCTCACTATGGAAAAACAGAAATCCAGAAACAAAAATGAAAACTTCCTCTGGCTTATGAGAGTAAGCTTATGAAACAGAAGTACATTCATCTGCTTTACTTTCTTTCTGTCCTTCTGAAATCATCCTACTTGAATTAAATCATGTTAACTTCCGAAAGGAATTACTTTTACTTTAAAATCTGATGTGGACAAGAGATTTAAATGAGAAAAAGAAAGGCCACCTCTCTCTTAATTGCTACCTTGTTACTCCCTGGGACAGTGCTTTGGCTGGCTACATGTAGTTGAGCATCAGCAAAGTAAACAATAATGTAATTATTCCCTTCAGTGAAGAGCTGGGAAACTTTCCTGAACATGACAGTGAAAACAAATAGAAAAAGTAGTACAAAATCCCCGAAGGGACAACCAGCACCTTTACCATTCATTTCAACCCCCAGCCACTAGCAACCAACCTCAGGCCATCCCCTCCAGTAATAAAGCACAACCCTTTATCTGGAGCAATTTCTTTAAAGCTCTTCTCAATCATTCAACAGGCATTTAACAAGTACATTGTTACTGGAGAAAAAGAAACTGAATACCAACCCTTGCCTTAGACATTTTTGTACCTACCCCATCCTCATTTTCACCCCCCTCTTCAGTCATTTGTTCCATAGGTACATGATCCCCTAAAACAAATGCTGTTCTTCAGTTGCTCAAGTCACCTCTTACCTAAAATATGTCAATGCAAGATTGCCTCAATGTCAAACTCACAGCTATCAATAAAATCATTCATCTATACTACAAAGTATTTACCAATACACATCTCCATTTAATAAAGCAATTATCCTCTGGTGAAAAAAGAAACAAATCTGCATATAACTATTAAATTCTCGAGTCCTTGTTACATGAAGATCTACAATTTTGGTTCTTTCTTCTTTTTAAATACAAGTGCCTAATCCTTTGCTATATAAGAAAATTTAACCCTACCTCCTCTTTTCTTTGTTAGTAAAAGCCAAGCTTTAATCGTTATCTTGTCACTTTGATTATGACATTATTAATGAACATTATTATGTATGTTTCTCCAGTGAAAAGACCAATTCATAACTTTGCTAATGATGTGAAAACTATAATTTGAAAAGACTGTACTATAGAAGAACTGTTGATCTTAGAACCTTTCTATCTAAAAATCCATTCCCTCTCTTTAAGTAATAAGAACAGGTAGTCAAGGTACCATGAAGTGCTTACCTTCCAACATGAATTTATTACTTTAATATTGTAGCTGTTGAATTACAGGTTCTGTACCTATCACACTGTTTGTCAATATCCACATAAACATAAAACTTGTGGCTTTGACGACGAATCTGAAAAAGTCCCCATACAGTCTGAGAGGGGAGAGCCCAGTTTGGTGGAATATAATGAATGTCCCTTTCCATCACAGAATATCTGCTTCTTAGGTTCAATTAACCTCTGAATGATTCTCTTTACGCGAGGAAAGTAATTCTCCTTGATGTCCTTGTCATCTACAGGGTGGAAAAGAATTCTTTGCCATCTACTGGTGGCAAAGAATGAGCAGTCACTAACGTGACCCCAAAACACTCTCTTCTTTTCATTCCCCTCAAGTCCTGTCTAGGGCAGCAGGAGGAACTGATAGAGAGGCCAAAATCTTCAGACGGGAGCACGGCAACGATCATGCCGTTTCCTCCCACTGGCAGGTGCATTCCCCTTCTTTTCCTTCTCTCCTCTCCTCAGGGTTGTTCTTCTTGACCTATACAGCACTCTCCCCGTGGTCTGAATTTTTACAGCCTACCAGAGAAAATGCCCGGTGATCCCTAACACTTCCTGAAAGCACTACCTGCATCGATGTTTTCAAAACCACTCTTAGGAGAAAAAAAAAAAAAAGACTATGGTGTAGGATCTTGCTACAAAAAAATATGGTGTGTTTCACCGCCCTACCAAGTTTTGGTACAGAACGTGTGGGCCTGGTGCCTGCAACTTGGAGCGAAAACGAGGAGGAGCCCTGAAACACACACACATACACACACACACAACTAAAAACCGGAAAGATCCGACTGGGGCCCAGGGCCTGAAAGGTGACACTTGGGATGACAGTGCAATGTGCGCAGCGGAGGCGCCTTCTCCCCGCTTTTCGGGACCCGGGAGACGCGCTCGGCCCACTGCCGACCACTTGCTCCCATCTGCTAAGAAGCGCTGCCCGCCAAAGTGACACGAGTGGCCGAGGTCCGGCCCCGGGCCGGCCGGGCGCACCGCCCCCACCACCCGTGGCCGCCCCCCAGCCTCGCGGCCTCGGGGCCCGCAGGGAGGGCGGGTCTGCTCCGCCTGCGCCCGGACGCGGCTCCGCGAGGCTGGGGGGCCGCCCGAGGTGGGGGGCGTCTCCTCCCGGGCGGTTCACCAATCGGGGCGGGGTGCTCCGGGGCCACCCGGCGGACCCGCCACAGGTGCGCGGGGCCGCCCCCACCCCGGCCTGCCGCCGCCGCGGCCCGGCCTTTACCTGCGCTCCGCGGACGGAGGCCCTGGCGCGGCCGCCCTTCCCCGCCGAGCTCGCCGGGCGCAAGGACCGACGAACGGACGCCTCGGGTCGGCGACGGAGGGCCCACGGGGCCCCACCCGAAGGCCCCGCCGGGGACGCGAGGGCCGCCGCGGGGAGGGCGCGACCGCCCAACCAGGCCGCCCCGGGGCAGCGCGTCTTCCGCCCGCGGGCCCCCACCGCCCGCCGCGCTCGTTGCCCCGCTGGAAACGCGCGGGCCCTCGCGCTCGCTCGCGTTTCCAGGCGTCTTTTGGTCCCTCCCTCTCGCCGTCCTTCCTGCTCCTCCTCCTCCCCACCCCGCCCTCCGGGTTGTCAGGGCAACCGAAGCGACGCCGGCCCCCGGGAGGAGAGGCGTTAGAAGGGGCTTGCAGCACCGGGGGCTCGGCCCGTAGGGGCCCGGGAGCAGCTTCCTCTATGGAGCTCCAGAGTAAGGGGGCCGGGGCCGGGGCCGGGGCGGGCCTTCCCTGGAACGGGTGTGGGTGCCCTGCGCGCGGCTCCACAGGCTTTTTTTTTTTTTTTTTTTAACGCTTTTGACGATATACGGCCTCCCTCTCGCGCTTTCTTCTCCGGGAGAGTCGAGAAAGGGGCTAAATCCCGCGGAGTGTGATTGTCGGGAGCCCGAGGGCTGCGTGAGCTCGAGGGCTGCGTGAGCTCGGGAATGTGGGCTGGAGGAGGCAGCGCCCCCAGGGTGTTGCTTCCTGAAATGATCTCCCAAGCAAATCCATTTCTTGTTGCTATTGCTGTCATTATTATTGGAGCTTCCCTGTTGGCTCCGATGGTAAAGAATCCTCCTGCAATGCGGGAGACACAGGTTCGATCCCTGGGTCGGGAAGATCCCTTGAAGGAGGGCATGGCAACCCACTCCAGTATTCTTGCCTGGAGAATCCCATGACAGAGGCGCCTGGCGGGAATACAGTCCACAGGGTCGCAGAGTCAGACACGACTGAAGCGGCTTGGCAAAGCACCGTCGTCACTGTTTTGTTTGGTGCTTTGATTCATTGACCATAAGTAGCCATTCTGCTTCTAAAATGTCAGCAACTGAACCTGCAAGGAGGCCAGCTCTTGTACTTATTAGAAGATATGGCATCCTCTTCCCAGTAGTCGGAGATTTGAAAGAGAGAAAAATTTTGAGGTTTGTGCAAGAGTGTTTAATTCGTTGCTAGAGGTTCTCCAAGGTAGGCTTGGACACGCAAAAAGGAAAAAAGTTACGATTTTTTTAACTGTTTCCCACTTTGTTTGACAAAAGGTGAGCCGTCTGGAATTATCAGATCTAACACCAGCTTTAACTTACTGTGTTTTTGATTGTTGTTCAGTGTGCTGTGCTTAGTCGTTCAGTTGTGTCCCACTCCTACCCCATGGACTGTAGCCCACCAGGCTCCTCTATCCATGGGATTCTCCAGGCAAGAATACTGGAGTGGGTTGCCATGCCCTCCTCCAGGGGATCTTTCCAACCCGGGGATACAACCCAGGTCTCCCGCATTGCAGGCGGATTCTTTACCATCTGAGCCACCAGGGCAGCCCATTGATTGTTGTTTTTATATTATTAGTATGGCTGCTGCTACTATTCAAACCTCTCTAGGGACACAGAGCTCCATCCTTCTTTCCCAAGCTGTTTTATTGCTCCTTTTGTTCTTAAAATAAGAACAGTGTTTCATAGGGAAACTAGAAAGACCTGGAACTGTTATAGGAGGATGCAGTGTGACTCTGAACACCAAGTTGTCTTTTCTTGCACAATTTCAGAAATGAAAGTACTCAGACCATGTCCATTCTCTGGGGTATATGCTGATGTTGTTAAATGTCGTTAGTTTCCAAGGAGGTTTCTAAAGAGTTTCTCCTTTCTTTTAACTCTCTTGCTGAGCTGAAAACTTGTAAGTTGAGAATTATAGTTTGAGTGGACTTTATATGCTATTCTATCACTCACACTTGTAACTCTCTGGATTCTGTGTGTTATCTAACTTGTTGAAAGAAATTTAACTTACAACAATGTTAGAATTTTTGTATCATTTCAAACTAATGCCAGGGTGTGCATGTTCTCTCTTTAGAGAAGAAATAAAGTGAACTGAAATATCTCTCTTAAAAATACCAACTTTATTTCTTCAAATTTATGTTACTGTTTAACTGTGTAAACTAAAAATTTCAAGTATGGTATTGAATTTGGTATTTCCAATTTCAATTCCAATACCAATTTCCATGGTATTTCCACGGTATTCTCTATGTTCTAAGTACTCTCCTTGGGTGGAGGATTGAACAGTGAGTAAAACCCTGTTCGCTCTGGTTATCCCTGGGAAACTGAGCAGAGACTTGCCCAAGAACTTCCGAAAACCTCCCTGGGGTCTGAGATTAGGGGAAAGCAAATGGACAGATGGCTTCCGGCAGAATAACCCAACAAAGAATGAGGGAAAGGGGTTCCAGCCAGGTCCCTGAGACCAGAGAGAGCAGTGTGCGTTTAAGGTTCAGAGTTCGAAGATCAGTAGAGCTGTAACTGAGAAGACAGGGGGGTGGAGGGGAGGAGGAAGAAAAGAGACAAGGCTGGAAGAGTGAGAAGGAACCAGATCCTGGAGACTTTGTAGACCTGTGAGAAATGTATTACCTCTTTGAATGACACATCTTGTTTATATCTGATCACAGATATATCTGATCACATTGGGTCTTAATGTGGAAAATATTTGCTAAATAATCTTTTATGCCTGGGACACAACTGTAAACTTATTCTATTTTACATACTCTCAAATGCTGTCACCAGTTTAATTTTAGATAATTCAAACAATGACCATTTACCTTAGAGAATTCTTTAGCAGCCTAATAAACATCATTTTGGGTGAATATTAATTTATTTGCTGTTAATAAATATTTTAAAGGACAAGATTAGATGGTCTTTAAGGTCCTTTTTAACTTCAAGAAATGTACCCTACCAGATTCCACCTGAGACTCAAGTTACTATTTTATCCTCTCAAAGATATTGGAAAATACTATGGCTGTGATATTAACAAATATGACAATTATACTGTCATCAGTGTTATATTAACAATATAGTATGTTGTTATGCCAATATTATCTGGCATATTTTAAGCCTGGTGTGTACATGATACCATTTGTTATTGGGGGGTTTCAAGTAGCATTTTACTGGTGTAGTTGAATATAGCACCAGTAAATTGATTTAAAAGGAGGCACCTTCTTCATTGCCTTTAAGGATTAAACATGTATCTAAGGACAATACCAAAGAACTACTAGAAAAAACCCCCAAGTCAGTCTTACCCATTCTGTTTCCACACACTTAGGTTTCTATTACTTTTAGAAGTGACCTTTATTAACTGAGTCATTAAAATCCCATAAACATAAGCACTTCAAATCCCACAGCTGGATCACACTCTGGCAATAAGCAGAGGGTGACTGGGGCTACCACTGTTTTGCAGAATGATAGTAAGCCAATGATCCAAGAAATGACTCCTGGGGGAAAGGGGCAGATTAAATCAGCTTACAACCCTGGGCTGTTTGGAATGGTTTTGGCTCTTGGCTTATATATTTACATCTTTAATTATTTTCTTCCTAAACAAACAACGCGGTTGGAAAGATAACCCATGTATGAAATAACATGAAAAATGCACATCAAATTCCTATTTTTAAAAAATTATTTATTTTTGGCTGTTCTGGGTCTTCATTGCTATGCACAGGCTTTTGCCAGTTGCAGCTAGTAATGGGCTACTCTCCAGCTGCAGTCCAAGTGCTTCTCACTGTGGTGGGTTCTCTTGTTGCGGAGCACAGGCTCTAGGCGCGCCGGCTGGGTAAAGTTGTGGTGCATGGGCTTAGCTACCCCACGGCATGTGGCATCTTCCCCGGCCAGGGCTTGAACCTGTGCCCCCTGCCTTGGAAGGTGGATTGTTACCCACTGTGCCACCAGTGAAAGTCACTCAGTCGTGTCCGACTCTTTGCAACCCCATGGACTATACAGTCCATGGAAGTCTCCAGGCCAGAATACTGGAGTGGGTAGCCTTTCCCTTCTCCAGGGGATCTTTTCCCACCCAGGGATCAAACCCAGGTCTCCCACCTGGCAGGCGGATTCTTTACCAGCTGAGCACAAGGGAAGCCTGAGAATACTGGAGTGGGTAGCCTATCCCTTCTCCAGTGGATTTTCCTGACCCAGGAATCAAGCTGGAGTCTCCTGCATTGCAATCAGATTCTTTACCAACTGAACTCACCACCAGGGAAGTTCCAAATTCCTTTTTTTCTATTTTTTTTTTTAAGAGAAGATTTAAGTTCAACAGTACTATCTCTTCCCTAATATTTTATAAGTGGCAATGCCAAGGAGTAGCTTTGCAGGTCTTTAAACTTTCCTCTCATGATCTTCCCTAGCCCACCAAATCACCCTAACAAGCACATAATCTGAATTTTAAAATGTGTATATTTATCAAGTGCAACATCAAGATACACCCTTAGCTCCCACTTACAACCTTATTGCCACCTGCCCTCTAAACTCGCCTTAAATTAAAAACGCTGGGCCTATTTCAGGCCAGGCAGCAGTTTCTTGATAGATACCTCCCTTTTCAAAGAAATCCTAAATGGGATTCTAGGTTACTCCAGTGACTAAGAGACTGAGACATAGCCTTAAAAGGGTGAAGACCTGTTTCTCCAAACCTGTTTTCCCACTGGTCTGCCCCATCTATGGGTAGGATTTCACCATCTTCCCAACTCCTCCAGCTGGAAATCCGAGTGTCATCCTGAGCTCCTCTCTTTTACTCAGCACCCCTCCCACTCACCCCACCCACCAGCGTGCCTGTTTATTCCACCTTACACACACCCTAACTCTGTGTCTTTCTCCCTGTGGTCATCACCCATAC